ACCCCCACACAACACTGTAGCGCCCTAGTAACAATGCAATCCAAGTTGAAGTTCCTGCACATAATCCTACTGGTGTACACCTGACAAAAAAAAAGAACTCCTTGAACGAGTCTTACCTCTTTTTTTGCTCGATCAACAAAAGACAGGACTTTATCCAGATGTGGTTGGCTGACCAGTGCCCCCATTCTGGTGCTCTCTAAAAGAGGGTCTCCTATTTCGATCGCTTGGGTCCTCTTTACCACCTCCTTCACAAACTCAGGCAGAATATCCTTCTGAACAAAGACCCTCGTACCATTGCTGCACACCTGTGATGCAGATATACAACACTATCAAGTAACAGGCTTCAATGTGAACCAGACACAAGCTGAACCATAGAGTGATGGTAAAATATAACAGCATATGAAAAAAAAAGATACACTACCTGGCCTTGAGACAGGAAGTTGGCCATGAGAGCTCCCCTCACAGCGTTCTCCAGATCACTGTCCTTAAATATGAGCAGTGGAGATTTTCCTCCAAGCTCCAAAGTCACTGGTTTGATCCCCTTAGATGCCATCTCCATGATCTGTGGCACAAAAGCAAATGGAAAAACATACAGTTATTAGGACATATAAAGAAGACGTCGGCATCGTTACCACGACATTTACAAATCCCAATTGTTTACTATTAAATGTCCTAGTCACAAGAAGTCTAAAATACCACGTACTTTCTGTCCTGTGGGCACACTACCAGTAAAAGACACCTTAGCAACATCAGGGTGTTGACACAGGAGGCTGCCAGTTTCCTGGCCCCCCTGGACCACATTGAAGAGCCCCTCTGGAACTCCGGCTTTGGCGTAGATCTCTGCCAGCATGACTGCTGTCACAGGTGTCACCGGTGACGGTTTAAACACCATGGAGTTACCTAATATGGAGAAAAGATGACAAAGAAAAACATGTATTGTTTGAATTCTTTTAATAAGTCTGCACATTCAGTTGTATCAGTCTCTGTGGAATGCTATCTAAAGGTGAAATGCTGTAATTATTTTCTGAACTGTTTTGTGCTCAAATGAATTGCTGACATTTAAAGATGGTAACGCCCACATTTTAGTTTTAGTAGCGCAGCAGTTTATGTCAAGTGACCTTACAAAACATAGTCTTGCTGTTCATTTGCTAGAACGTGCAGTTATCCTAACTTCAGATGCCCTTTCCTCACCCCACAGTCTAACTTCTTTTTTTTTTGCCTGTCCCATTTGGATCTTTAGCCGTGAGAATTGTTGTCTGAGGGCCAAGAAAGATGCCAAACGGATTTACTTTACCAAGTGGATCATCATGGCCTTGCCATATTGGTCCATTTAATTGACCTTTATTATAATTATAATTATGTATTTATTTTATTTTCGGTTGTTACAGACGGGACAGACATGACTGGGGGATAGGACAGGGAGAGAGAATGAAAGAAAGAGAGGGAGAGAAAGAAAAATAGAGGAGAGAAGAGATGGTGAGAAAGGGGGGAAGAAGAAAAAAGAAAAAGAAAACAAAACACCTGGATCACCTGTATGGAGATAAAAAAAAAAACAGAAGAGAAAACAAACAAAACAGAGCAACATAATAAATACACCACCATCACAATAAACTAGCTAATAGTAGATACTAAATATTACATGTTATTGTGCAGTACGCAAGATCGACAGTGCACAATGTGCTTTGATGCGGCAGCCAAGAAAGGTGTAGTTTGTGTTTGTGAACACCCGTGTGTACACCCGTGTGTACACCTGTGTGGATCAGCACGCTTGTATTCAAAAGGTTTCTCCATGTAACGATCTGCTAGGGAGTGTGGGGAGCCACAGCCCCGTCCCCCAGGGCATGAAGCAGGTATGGAGGAGATCCAGGCCCCAGACATCCAGAGGCCCCAGAGTACGAGGACCCAAGGAGGAGCACCACAGGGGCAACCGCGCCACCCTCCTGTGAAGAGCTGAGGAGAGCCCCAAACGAGAGGTCACGCAGCCACGGAGCAAAGGCCAGAGGGGGTTTGCAGTGACGTGCCCGTGGGCTCTGCTGGCAGCCAGCTGTGCCAGAGAGGACCGAGCCTCAGGCCCAGATGCCAGAGACCTGAGGGCACCCCACCCCCCGGAAGAAGCCCAGCCGGGCCACAGGCGCCAGGCCCCGCCAATCGGACACCAGGAGTGAGTCGGTACATACATGAGCGCCCAGCCCCAGATGACAAGGACCACCAACGTCTGAGGGCATCAGCCACTGGTAGGGAGTGTGGTGAGGGGAGATAGGCCTCCATACCTCGGAGAGCCTGAGATGTTCCCAGAGAGGTGGAGTCTAAGACCCAAGCTGATATATAGACACAGATGAACAGGCGCACGCAGACACAAACGTGCATTCCCACCCCCATATACACAATCAAATACTCGGCACTCATCCGACGTGGGGACAGACACAAATAGACACTGTACACACATTCACACTCCCCAAACATACTCTATATCCCAGGTCCGGGTACCCCTGCCCCCAGAGGGGCAAACCATACCCGGACCAAGGAAATGTAACCCTTCTCTCTGGGGTGGAGCAAAGCAGACCGCCTCCTTATCTGCAGTAGAGAGAGAGTGACCCCGCATCCCAGACCCCAATCTGACGGCCAGCACCTTCTCCCAGCCCCCCAGGTTAACAGAACGGGAGTGAGTGAGGACCCCAAACCTCCCTCCGCCCGCTCATATGTAGTGTTGCTGGGTGCTGTTCTAAAGTGCATTTAAAACAGTCTAACTTCTTAAGAAAATGTACTGATTCATTTTCCAGGAGTTTAAAGAGATTTTCTTAAATGTAGCAAACCAACAAAGGCCACTGGTGTTTTGGTTGTGGAAGAAACCCATACCGCAGGCCAGGGCTGGAGCAGACTTCCAGGCAACGATCTGAAAGGGATAATTCCAAGCACCGATGCCAACACAGACTCCCAGCGGCTCTCTGCGAGTGTATGCAAAGGATCCCCCAGGCAACTGGACATGCTGGCCTTGATAAAGGAAAACAGAAGCATTGACAAGGTAAAACAAAGGCTGACGTGACATTTATAAAGCCATATAAATATGGCAAAAATATACGATAGCTATATCAACCTGCTAAAGTGCTGGCCAGTCCTGCATAGTACTCTATACACAGTCTGGCAGAGTCCACATCCAGACGGGCCTCTGTGATGGACTTCCCATTATTGACCACCTCCATTTCAGCTATTTCCTCTCTTTTGCTCTGTGCATTAAAATCAGGGCATATGCAATCTAATATATTAGATGACTCATGAGATCTTCCTTTTGCAAGATATAAAAACAACTTTGTTGAGTTGTTCTTCATTCTAAAAAACAAAACAAAAACATATAAACAACAAACACCTCAATTATATGTGCAGCTTCTATCATGACCCTTGCCCTCTCCATCCCCGACATTTTGCTCCAATAACCGAAAGCCAGTTTGGCAGCCTTCACAGCTTGATCCACCTCCACAGCACCACAAGGCTCCAACTGGCACAGGACACGGCCTACAACATGGAATGTAAGATAGCTCAAGCGTCCAAGTAGGCAGACTTTCATGGAAACAACAGGTTGCACACAGTTTCCATTTGGCACAGTCATCTCTATGATTCCAGTTGTTCTTTGATGTGAAGGAAAAATAATTATCGGCCTACAGCAGCTACAGGCAACTGTGCTGTGAATTTTGTGGCTCGCTTACACTTTAGAGCTGGAAATGTCATTTTCAGTGATGTAACTGTGATTAGATAAAGAGCACCATGCATAAAGGGTGGGGCTGCATGCAGGCTCTGTGCTGGCTCAGATGGAGTTAAGAGAGTTGAATTAAAAACAGGGACCGGGCCTCAAAGAGCATCAGAATATAATTGGACTAAAAATGTGTAATGCACGGAGCAGCAGGCTGACTATCAGGCATCATTAACTGATAATGATGTGCTCTCATGTCTTGGTTCTGCTCCAATGAAGCTGTGCAGAGATAACACTGTCCATACAGGACTGCTGGTCTATAGCTGTGACTAACTGGATACAGTATATCAATCAACATGTGTAGAAAGTTTACTTTTATTGAAAAACTAGTTACCAAGTTTAGAGGTGTATTTGACAAAAAGACTAATCATTCAGAAAGTAACGTTGAAATCATTTCCCCTACTAAAGATTACCAGACATACATATTCACACAGCAATGGCCAAAGTCCGGTGATAAGGCAGGGTCAGTACTCTTTTTTTCAGTATTTACGAGCTGTGTGTTTTACCGGTTGCAGGTTCGTAAACAACGTCCTTGCTGCATTTCTCAGGGCCTGTCCTCCTCTTCCCAGCCCAGAAGTTAAGCGGGAGGGTGATCTCCACCGAGCCGGAGGAGATGCACCTCACTCCAGCAGCCAGAAGAGCAGCTGCAGGCCGCCGCAGAGGGAGACTAGCGAGTCTCCGGAGCATATTGGAGCTCGTCCCGTAGCTTCAAGTGTCACTGATGACTGTAAAACATGCAGTATGCGGGTTAACGTCACTTTACCGATAACGCTGGAAAATCTAAAAAGGAGTCTGACTCGATTACAAGCAACTCCGCCAACTCCTGTGCTAACGACTCTTTCACTTTACTGTCACTTTTAAAATGTCATTATTGGATTTAAGTTTTGAGAAAACATACCTATAAGACGTTTAATTTGTTTTCGAAGAGTCCAATCTCAACTCAATTGAGAATATCGTGTTTAGTTGCCATTACAACGGTACTTTTCTGACGATTCACCAAGGGGCGGGCCAAATTGCAGCCGAAAGCCAATCGGCGCTAACAGGCCAGTGGCGTCTGAACGTACTATACAATTGGATAGTTTCACTGTCGATCACTTAAAGCGGCTTTAAGAATATACTCTCATATGTTAAACATAATTAAACGTCAGTAACTATTGCATGGCTGTAAAACTTTCTTAATAAATACAAGCAAATAAAAATATATAATTAAAATTGCAGTTGTTTAAAATAAAGGGCAGCGTTGTGGGAGGAGCTACATCATAACGACGTTCCAGCTCAGCGGCTGGAGGAGCACATTACAAGTATGGCTGGAGACAGTGAGACACATTTAGGGGACCGCGGCGAGAACACCCAGGTTGTTCGGCAACCTTTCCTCATCGGTGTCTCCGGTGGCACTGCCAGCGGCAAGGTTAGCGTTCTAGTGAGCTAATTTGACGGGTTTCACGTAGTGACACGTTGAGAATTTTGAGTTAATTGACGGCTGATGCTCGCAGCTGAGTTCGCCGGCTGACCGCGTGGCTTCAGCGACGCAGCAGTGAGGCTTGATTGACAGTTCGCAATAGTTTAGCGCACTGGTGCTCTGTCTGTGGTGCTGAACGCTGACTTTAGTTGGTCCAATATTCTTCTTTTTTGTGACGGAAATAATAATGATAATGATAAACTAAAATTACAATGGATGGTAATAATGTTAGCTTAGTTAGCCCCCGAGCTAACGATAAATTCCATCACATGCTAGCAGTGCCGGGAGATCTAAGACAATAGCTAGTGCTAACTTAACTCTAAGCTAGGTGGGCTGTGTTTGTAAACAGTGTGAGCCACATATCTGTCAAATGAATAATATTTTAGCAGCGTTAAATTGATAGTACTCGTTGTTTGACGTCAGTTTTTTTTTCCCCTTTGACCCGGGATAACTGCTAACGTCAAATAACGGTAACCTACATGGTGGCTTACTGGATAATAATATGTGGAAATCACTGTGGAAAAAGATGTCGCTCATCTCTCCTTAATATGTGAAACCTTAGATGCCTTTTAAAATTTTTTATACATACATACATACATACATACATACATACATACACGTCGATTCAAGAAGTATTAGCTTAGCTTATTGTATTCTATTTTAATTTGACCGAGTTACATTAAAAGCCTCGCACAAAGAAGCACCCGCGTGGGCAGAGCTAAACTTGCCAGCGCACACGGTGGCGCTGACTCTTAAACACATACGTGGCTATTTCTCCAAACACGTCGTCACATTTCTTTGTTATGAATTTTAGGGTTTTTTTTTTTTTTTTTTAAACCGTGGGCGGCTGGGGGAAAAAAAAAACTCCCCTTGAATTAAACCAGTGATCAAAGTTCACATAACAGACTAGCTAAATGCGAAGGTTAGTAAAGGTAAACAATACTAAATTGGTGGTGAATGTTACTTTTCGCGGCTTTGTTGTGATCCCGTCGTACATTCATCTCCTTTGGGCCCGCTTTCTGGCTCTTTAAACCGTATCATCTGTTATTGGCATTATGTCAGTGTTTTCCTGTCAGTTTCCGGTTTGACGCTGCTCGGGGTGTGAGTGATGTCATGTTCCGCGTTTGGTATATTTAGAAGACATACCAGTTTTGTTTCATATTCATTAGCCTTACTGCTGAAGGTCTCCCCCTGCCTGTAATGGCAACAAAATAATGAATATGATTTTTCTTTAAAAAAAACAAACATTAATACTAAAAAAAAATATTATAAAATTATATACATACCCTTAATATTTAAAAGTAAAACGTCTTCCCTTTAGTGTATTTAAAAAGTTTATTTTGAATTTCTCCAAGAGGGCTAAACTTAGAAGTTAGAGCTTCAAAGTGATGCTGTGTCACTGGGGTGGCTCAAGGGTACATTCAAAGTTTGTCCATTTTATCAGAAACTACCCCATTTGAGGGCGTTGACCCAAGCTTCCAGCTCTGGTGTGAAGCTGTTTAAATTCGTTGTAGCACAGTGTAATGGGTACAAAAGGAAGCAGAGCCTCAGGCAGTGGGGGAATGCCCTGTCAGCATTGGGCATGAGATTCTTTTAGTTTGGGAGGTCAGTGAGGACAAAAAAGGTTGGCCACAGGGCAGTTTGCCTATAGCAGATTGCAAATGTGATGCAGGATGTTTACTCACCCAGATTATTTCTAGGTTAAAATCTTAATCTATGCATGCTGATGTTTGGCCGATACTGGTATTCAGTAGTCCTATTGGTGCACTCTCCTGACAGTCATGTTCTTGATCATTTCCACAGTCGTCTGTGTGTGAGAAGATCATGGAGCTCCTGGGACAGAACAAGATTGACCACCATCAGCGGCAGGTGGCGATCCTCAGCCAGGACAGCTTTTACAAGGTGCTGACTCCTGAGCAGAAAGCCAAGGCACTCAAGGGCCAGTTTAACTTTGATCATCCAGGTATGATGCACGTTAAATCTTTGCTACATGTTACAGGTTTTAGTGGCTAGGTCATTTTACCTGGCTTATTGTATTAACTAAATGGCATCTTTCATGTGCACATGCAGTCCAAAGTGGATTACGGTTAAACAATTGGAGGATAAAATATGTTAAATGACACCTAACAGTGGCAGCAATACATAGAACTTTTGGAGTCCATTTTTGGAGTCAGGCTTTTCACCCTCTCTTCCTTTCTGGGCTGATTTTAAATCTGCACCATCAGCAAGCCGTCCTCAGGCAGCTGCTGCCAGGCTCAGACTGAACACAACACATGTTATACGAAAGCGATTCCTGGGTTACCAAACGTGCGGGGAGCGGTGCCACGTGTCTGTGGGTGCACATTGAGCTGTAGTGATGGAGGTTAAGTGTGACCAATTGTAACTGAGCATTTTTCGGTTTTCCCTTTCTTGACCTCAGATGCCTTTGACAGCGAGCTGATCATACAAACACTGAGACAGATCCTTCAGGGGAAAACTGTCCAGATCCCAGTTTATGACTTTGTCACTCATTCCAGGTGAGTGCCTCTTTGTTTACCATGCTGTTTAATTTGGCCACAATTCATCATGTGATCATAGAAGCACAACAGAGGCTTTATGCAGTTAAACAAATAAAGCATTTGATGTGTAACTTCGATTGTGTAATATGCTTAAATTTGTTTTGACACGCGTATAAATGCAGTCGCTCACAGAGAAGAGGCACCTTTCTGTGTGTTCCAGGAAAGACGAGTTTGTTATGGTGTATCCGGCTGATGTGGTCCTGTTTGAGGGCATCCTCATGTTCTACTCGCAGGAAATCAGAGATCTGTTCCAGATGAAGCTGTTTGTTGACACAGATCCCGACACACGGCTGTCGCGTCGAGGTGTATAGCGTGATTTGGGTTGCTACTCACTAGTGTAACGATTGTCACTTAAGTGCACTGTTAGAGTGCTTTTGGTTTTCAAAAGTACATTTGGACAGTCTGTTATCATCACATAGTGTGTGTGTGTGTGTGTTGTGTTTCTGTTTCTTGTTTCTTTTTTTACATTGGTGTACTTTTGTTTTTCATGTCTAAATGTATAACATGTCTCTGTTTCAGTTCTGAGAGACATCAGTGAACGTGGCAGAGACCTGGAGCAAGTGCTCAGTCAGTACATCACTTTTGTGAAGCCGGCCTTCGAGGAGTTCTGTTTACCTGTGAGTGCTCCTGTCTTGTTGAGACACTAAACCAGGACTGACACCATTCTAGTTTTAACACTGATACAGGCAATTATTTTTTTGGTAACAAGAAATATTATTGCCACTCCAATATTTGCCCACTAGAGAGCGCTGTGTGCTTGTACTTGTTTAGAATAAAGAATTGTTCCATATTATAATGTTTTTGAGCTGCTGTATTTAATCATAAGAACATTTCTTATTTCTACCAGACGAAGAAGTATGCAGATGTCATTATTCCACGAGGAGCAGATAATCTTGGTGAGGCCTCAGTGATTATCGTGACATCTTAACCTACAAATAACTAACGTGTTTAACTTGTCCTTTGGATTGTGCTTGAGTTTGCCCGTGCGAGGCAAAACAAACATGTTCGCGCTCCAGTGGTCCGTTCTTCGTACCTCGCTTACTACATCCAAGATCAAATCATCGCGCTAACTTTGAGCTCGCTATTCCGGTTCCCCGAACACACCTGTTGTTGACGATTAGTACAGCTGGATGAAGTAATGTGAGATCACTGGGTGGCTTAA